CATTGCTGGGATAACATTTTGAGCAGCTTCTCGTATTGTGTTGATAAATTGTTGCTCAATTTGTACCGGTGTTCTTTATTGCCAGACATTTAATGTGTTCTCGTGTCAGGTGTATCTTACATATATGGAAGGGATGTAGCCCTTTCTCGCTAATTATCTGGTGCATAGTATAAATCTGGTACTAAATACAAATTAATCTGGAACCTCATAGATCTTATAGTTCGAAGGTTATATTTTCTTGAGGTATACTATTTTATCAACCACACCACCGCCACAACCACAATTAATAAATTAAACAAACGTTAGATTTTCAAAAATTTATTCTTTTTAGCCGAAGTTCCTGGTTGGGAGTTCAATATCAGCCGCAACCTGAACCATTATATACATAGGGAAGCGCTGACTGCAACGATAATGCCTAAAGATTTCTGTGATAAACCGTCGTTCTTAGTGATAGTTTGCATTTCCAGCCCGTCTGGTTTTGAAGCGCGAAGAGTAATTCGAAAAACTTGGGGTCGGGATAGAAGCGTGATGGGACACAATATATCTCTCTACTTTTTGTTAGGCCAAACGACTGATATAGATATACAGGTAAGGCTGCGGTTGGCTATCACCTCCATGTAGGATGTAAAAGATTAGCAATGCGACCTATTAAAAAAATACGTAGCTTGTTACTGCCCATTGATTGCAACATTAACTGAATTGCGTGAATTAACGAATTAACTGCGTTGGTATTTTTTTAGAAAAATATCACCGAAGAGTATCTCCTAAACAACGATATAGTTCAAGAAAGTTTTTACGATACGTACAACAATCTCACGTTGAAATCTGCAATGATGTTGAAACTTTTTACCCTGAAGTGCCAAAGCAAAGCGAAATATCTCTTGAAGATAGACGACGATATCTATCTAAATTTGCCTAAGCTTATTGATGACTTAATGACAAGGAATCAGACTGATAATTTGCTCATGGGTTCTGCTATTTGCGGTTCTAGACCTATACGGTCCTCTGGAGATAAATGGTGAGCATAGAGTTAATTATCAGTTATGTACTTTCCCTAACCACTTGTCTGGATATTTAGGTACGCTGGGCCAAGTTACTTGTTTCCCTACGACATATATCCGAGTTATATTTCGGGAACAAGCTATTGTATGTCTGGAGACGTGGCTGAAAAGATATTGAATACAGCTTTAAACACGCCAATATTTCATCTTGAAGACGTATATTTAACAGGTAATTTTTAATAATCAGCCCTGTGCTGTATCACTCACGTTAACTTTAATGTGCATGTTATCCGTCAAACACGTTATGTGGCTCCAACTGGTGTGTTGTATCAGTAATACCTTTAACAGGCTCACGTTATCGACGAACGTTGTATTAGAAATATAATCTTATCGAACTGAACGTGCGTCCCTCGAAGTTCACCTCGGGGAATAAATAAAACAAATGTGTTTAATAAGAGCGTAGTTTTGTCTTATAGCTATGTTTTGATTTAAAACAAAAATATGTCTTTTGGTGGTCTTATAAGGTTAGCTTTATTAGAACAATTGGTAAATGGTCTTGGAAATAAACTTTATTTTCCTCCACAAGCTCTACTAAATTTGCAAATTGTTTGCGGGTTGTTTTTTTTGCCTCTTCTGTGCATGTTCCATTGAAAGCGTTTGAGTAGATAGGTCAAGAACAATAACGAACGAAATTGAAAGTGAATGCAAATCATAAACAAAGACAAGTATGGTAGTAGGTGG